ATTGGGGAAGAAGAGGGCCGTGGGTGTGATTTTTATTTTGTCAGTTTAGTGGGTGTAACTCTTGCTCTTTAAAGATACCATCTGCGCAGGATTTACACTCTAGGTCCCATGCCTGCAGCGCCAATCAGGCAAGAACTCACTGAGCTTTTAATTGTTTTCTGGTTTTGCGGGGGGAGGGTTACTCCATGAAGCATATGTGGGCCTGCTAAATTGTTTCTTTCCCCTAAGTTGTGGCTACCTAAAAGTATATCAGAGGCCTCCGTATGGCAGCCCTTAGAAGTGTAGCTGGAATAAGTGCTCTAGAAGAGTCTTTCAGTGGTTTCTGCCAATCACAACTCCAGTTTACTTTGCCTACTGCCGTTATCCTGTGACACTGGATAGCTTTTATCTGTTTTCTTGACCTTCCTACCATTACTAGGTTAATTGTTCTTTATATGTTCTGGTTCATAGGATTTTGCTACCTTGGGCCTTCACTGCTTGATATTTGAGACCTGGTAACTCTTATTTTAGGAATTTGGCTCCCTTAGAAGCTTCCCCCGACTTACTCAGTTCCTCCCCTTCCTTCTTCCTTAACGCCCTTTTTACTGCATTTCTGTGCTAAGGGTTTTGGCTCCATTCTTGAACACACCTTGGCATTTCACGCAGTACAAATGCTTACATATGACACTTCAGTGCACTGTTGTGCTACACTGGGAGATTTTTGTGGCTTTTTCTGGGGCTCAGTACATCATAGAAACTCACTTGCATTTGGCACAGCTCCTCATGCTTATTTTTGTCTTTTGGTTGACTCCATCTCTACATGCTCTGAGCATCAGACAGCTAGATCCATTATATGTGTAAAACAGTGAATCTCTCATTTTCCCCCAGTAAGTGGAGGGTATAATCTTCCACCACTGGGTTTTGAGAGTCCTTAGACTTTAAGTTGCATGTGCCTCTGCTTGTTTCAGTGGTAAGAGAACCAGGCGCAAGTGTGTTAGGTTGGGGTCCAAGTGAAGCAGGTTGGAGAAAGATGAGTTGCCCTTTGGGTCTTCAGGCCTTGGCATGGGTGCTACGTACTTCCTGAGGAATTCAGGAGAACTCCTGTTGCAAGGCTTTACTCCAAATGATTGCTGCTTCTTTCTAGACAGAGATGCCATCTCTGGGATTTGCCACAACATCAGTTTCCTCTCTTGAGACCATAATGCATTGGGACCTCCTGTGAACTGGGTAGCCTGATGTCTCCTAATGGGCTACAAATGCTACTCTAAGGTTTGCCACCTCCACTTTCTGCTCTGGATCTCTGCATGAAGGTGCCTGTTGAGGAGCTCAGAATGTAGCATCATCTCTACACTTCTCTCCAGCACCCTTATCTGGTGACAGGTCTCTGGAAGGGGTCTCTGGGAACTTGGAAATTCTCTGAGGTGCTTAGATTCTTAGACCTATATATGCTGGCTGCATTGCTTAAGTCCCTTGTCACGAGGGTCTCTCCCCTGTCTTGAAATGCAGGAGGTACAAGGTATGACTCTTGTCATAAGACGCTTTGTGCTCTGTTCCTGCTTGCTCCTTATCTACAGTTGCAACACATAATAGCAATAATAATAATAATAGTAATATTAATAATAAAGCACAAGATGCTTTACCAAATTAATATAATTGTCTCCATCTTATAGACAGGGAATCTGAATGCTCAGGAAGCATTCTATCTGAGCAGGTAGCTTCATATCATCTTTTGCTATAGATAAGTTTGTAATTCAAATGGCTGCATTATACTGAGATGAAATCATTGAACATAGGTCCTATTCCAGCCTATCTCCAATGCTAAAGATACATTTGATTCCATGCCCTTCTTTACATTAAAAAAAAAATCCCCATCTTGGGATATTAACATAAGAGCATGAAAGCAGTGATAAAAGCTGCTTTTCAGCAACTATTTCCATCTGAACTCTGGTTTCTTGCACAGAAATTCATTTCCAAGTGACAGCATAAATTGAGTGACTGAAGTGCAGGTGCCTGAATGTCAAACACTTACAAGATAGGTGAGTTCCCACATGAGTCTCACTGGAGCCTCAAGATCCAACAATGTAAATCCCACATAACCCCTTGAAAGTAGTCTCAAGTAACTTACCTACCATAAGGTAACTTTAGATAAGAAAATAATTGTGTGTATGGGAGAGGCAGAGAGAATGCACAAAACAGCAAATGACATGTGGTCTTTAAATTGCTCTAGGTTTTTGCCATTCCCCGCCCCACTTCCCTACCAGATGACATACACTGCTAAAAGGTCCAAAACAAATTTTGCTTGAAGGCTTGTGCTTTTTTTTGTTAACTTTAATTGATTAGGCCAGAGTTTAGGAGACTGCAAGTAAATCAATACTGGTTTATTGCGATCATAAATATTTAAAAGCTTTTTCAGCTGCAGAATTAACTGGATATATGACCTTAGCTTTGCTTTGTATAATTAGTAGTAAACATTGGTACAGAAAATGCAGCTGCTTCTAAAGCTTACAGTCTTCCCTTGCTACTGAGTATAGATGGACTCTCATAGATTGCAGCAGAAACCAGCACAAACTGGTAATAAACCTGATTAAAGACACTATTTTTCCTCTTTATACTTGGGCAGTTCTCCATTACAGAGCATAGAGGGAGGCAGTCGCTGTCTTATCAGAGACCAGAATGCTGCTTCACATCTTGGGCAGCACAGGTTGCCCCTTAGAATATACTTCATCTCATCCGGTTGAAGCCCAAAACATTTGACGCCTGTGTTCCCTACTTTTCATCCTGGAAATCTGGTTATCCCCAAACCAGTGGCAACTGGGTAGGCAGCAGAAGGTGAACAGCAAAGGCAGGTTCTATTTTTACTTGTGCCCTTAACTGCTCCTTTATACGATGCGAAAGTGTCTTCAGAGTTTTTCCTCGGTGCTAACAGATTTCAATGACATCTGAGTTTTTAGAGAGTTTGCATAAATGTCACCTCCCTACCTTAGCTGAATGCTCAGGGGGCTGCACCTTCTGTTCAGTATATTGCAGTTTCCTTGTTCTACTCCTTGCTCATCCTCCAGAGCCAAGAGCCACTGTTAACAAAGAAAAAGGTTGCTTTTGGAAAGTAGAAAAATGTAAAGCAGCAGGTAACATGACGATGTTGGCTTCTCTTCCTCCTTCCACTGCTTCTATAGCTGTCCAAATTCTGCCAGGCAAAAAAAGTGCCTGGATTTCTTTCCTGGAACTGGGGAAGCTTCCACTAGGGGCCACTTCTTCCTGAAGAGAAGTAGAATGACCTTGAGGACGTATAGACTCCAAAATAGTAGGACCGACTTCATGAGCAGAAGACCTATAGCTACTGTTGGGAGAACCTGGACATAGGACACTGCCCAGGAGGAAGAATGACTAAACAGTATAGAAGCATGTGAAGAAGAGGAGGGGAACAATGTGGGAGATGAAATGAAGAATAAAAATAGATGGTGTAGTTTCCTTTGAAAGGGCAAACCATATACTTAAACATGTGTAAGCAATTGCAGTATTTTCCATAAGAATGTTACATGGGAAAGGAAGTTGGTTTTGCAGCCATGAATAGAGGGGAAGGTGCTCTTGCAGGCTATTTTTATATTAAAATGTTTGAGAATCCCTGTCCTTAGCAAGCCAGGAATCAGCAGGAATACTTTAGAGACTATTTTGTGCTTAATATCCCCTGGGGACTGTTCAGTGAGACAGGTAGCATAGAAACCTGAACGTTCCTCAAATTGCACTTTTGCTTTGTGTGTCACAATGAAGTCCTGGCTTGAATCATGCATTCAGCAAGAAATTCATAAAATATGAACATCTCAGGTGCTTAGGCTTTATATTATGGAAAGCCAGTTATATTGTTATGCCTTGAGCAATATGAGCCCTCCTTCAATTTTCAGTGAGGTTTTGTTTTGTGTTGTTTTGTTTTAAATAGTTCTCTAGATAATTGAGGATAAAAATTGAATCAGTCATGCTATCTGTTCATCCTGTAAGTGTATGTACCGTATTAATGCTACTGGAATTTTTGAAACACTATTGATAAATCTCTGGACTGAGACGACAAGAATGTTGTAGATCGGGAGCGGGGGGGTCAGTCAGCGTACCATTGCGTTGCAATGGCCTAATGTAATCACTGCAGAATAAAAACTCTCATTTTGCTTTCTTTGGTTGGGGGAAAATCGCTTAAATTCAGTATTTTTGTCAGGGGGAAATATTCTCTGTCCCTTATATATGTCAAAAGAATCCCTTCTTTGAGAGGGACACTATGTGCAAGGTCCCTCTATATAAGGTCCCACTATATGTATATAAAATATGCATTTTATAAGGTTGCTTATTTATGTTGCTAATTTTTTTTAAGGGCTGAATGGCACTGTTTCGTCAGATCTGAAAAAGGTAAATGGTATTGAAGGGAATACGCTAATTCTGGAACTGCGGAAATAATGAAGACATATTCTGTCAGTGCCCTAATAACAATCAGTTAATTCACTCCGGGTGCACAAAGCCAGCCACCCACACAATCCCTGTGTAGCATTTAAGTCCTGCTGACGAGGACTTCAATTGAATTTTAAGTGATGCCTTGGGTTTGCATAGAGTAAATTTTACTTTATTTGAAGAATCCCCTAGTTCTATTTCTATTTGCTCACTTTTTCAGTGTAAGGGTAATTGTAGTTTCAAGAAGGTCTCTGATTTAGGTGCTTTTACATCACTTCCTTCCTTTTTGTTCCATGGTATGTACATCTGTAGACATGTCTGTTTTTGTGCCCACATTAACACTCTGTTATAACAACCCTATGGGGCGTTTCCTGAAAAACGTCGCATTTCACCGTGGTGGAGATTACAAAATCTTAATCCCGCCCCTGGAAAACGCTGAGTGGTAAAAATTGAAACTAGGATATTTTTCTAACCTTGTGGATTATCTTGGAGGCTTTCTGAGCCGTTGAACTGCTTAGATCTGATTTGGCTGTTGCATGCCATTGGGATCCATTGTGGCCATCCCTGTGGTATCATTCAAGTTGTATTTTCAGTGCAGCGTACAACGCGCTGCTGAACTGCCCCCACGCCAACCCCGAGGAAGAAACGCAGACTCATAGCCAAACACCCGTCTCGTTATAGTCTGTGCTTGCTCGGAAAGAGCTTATCTCATGGGAAGAATTACTCAGCATTTCTTTATTTGCTCCCTAGTGACCTCTGCAGTAAGTCAGCTGCTATTAAATGAATCGCTGATAAGGAGCAGACTGACTTCATCTTTAGCTTCTGCTGTGTACCACCCCACCGCATTGTGTGCAAGGGATGAGAGTGGATTTCCGCAGATGGGAAACTCTTGATTGCTTAGCTCCACAAATTTCTTCCTGTTTAAAAATAGTAATAAAATCTGCAGCTGCTTTTTGGTTTGCCATCCTCAAATTTCAGTCATTAAAACATTCCTGTCCCCCACATCTCAGCTCCATCATTAATACACATCAGATACCACATGTGAAAATCTCAACTCCAGGGTTTGAGACATTAAGGGAAGGTCATCTTTGTTAATAAATCATTTAGGAACCTGTCTTTTTCCTGCATAACTCTCATTGAGAGGAGTTCAATTTCTGTATCTGATGGACCGCATTAAGGGTAACCTTCCCAAATCTTGTCTCTGTTGCTGATCTTCCCCATAATTATTAGAAACCCTAGCTAGGTGACCATCCCAGGTTTGCCCTGCTGTGCCTTTAGTCCAGTCCTGTTAAACTACCGTGGCATTGATTTTCATTGAAGGCGCAGCTTGTTGCAAGGACACTGCAGAGCTCCTCTAGCATTGATTTACAGCACTGCTGAGGGCTGCAAACTTAAATTTTCTTCACCAATCCTAGTAAATAAGAGATAGAGGGAAACTATATTGGAGTGTTTTAGCCCGTTAACACAGGGTTTAGAAAGTTATGCCTACTGTCTCGCTTCAACCACCCCCTTTCTGTTATTACAAGACTTAATGCTGCATTGAGCCATAAATTTGGAAAGTCATACTGTATTATCCTTGTAATCTAAAAATGACCTTGAGGGGGGAAGGGGAGAAAACAGTTGAATATGCTTAAATATTATTGGGAAATCTCATAAGACACTGGAATTTGGTGATGACCCACAGCAGAACAAATACTGCGGGTGTTTTGTAGTTACTTGGGGGAAATCCTTTTAGTCATGATTCACTGAAGGGTACTTAACAAATTATCACCTATCATATTTGGCTCATGAAAAGTTTGCCAGCAGTAACTTAGTGTTTTGATTCTTTTATGAAATGAGGACAAAAGAAAAGTATCTTAAATATTTTAAAGAAAAGCACAGGTGAATAGATGTTTCCATTAACAAGAGATTACTTATACGAAGAGAGATTGCAACTTAGATCTGCTTCATGCCCAGTCTCTGAATACAGATGATCATCGCAGAATCTCTTCCGTGACTGTAGCATTTATGTGAATGTGATCAAACACGGAGGTGTGGACACCTTGAGGTTGTGTAGTCCAGGAGTGGCCAATTTGCAGCGCAGACAGCCTCTGTGTGGGACACGCAACAGATCCCAGGAGGGGACGGACAGCTTAGTGGCAGGTAGGGCAGGGAGCAGAGCAGCACATCAGGCAGGGGAAGGGCATCAGAGTGGTACTCGGGGTTCAGAGCTAATTTGGGGCATGCCTACCAAAAAGATTGGCCCTCACTGATTTAGTTCATCTCTCTGCTCTTGAACAGCAACAGGTAAACCAAAACGATCCTGGATGGTCTTATGGCTCACCTGTTCTTTAAAACTTCCAGTGACAGGGGTTCCCCAACCTCCCTGGATAACCAGTGTCACTGTTAAACTTCCATCAGTTAGAAAGTTTTTCCTAGTTTTTAAACCAAAGCTTTTCTTCCTGTCACTTAAGCGATTACTCCTTGTCCTACTCTCTCTGGGCACAGAAAAATTGGCTATCATTCTCTCTATAATGACCCTGTCGTCTTTTTTTCTGTGCTGACCAGTGTAAATGCTTTTCTTTCCTTATAGGCCGTGTGTTCTAAACCTCTTGTCTTTGTTTCTCTCCATTGCATTCTCTAATTTTTCTTCATATGTGGCGCCTAAAACTGGGGGCAGTGCTCCAGCCAAGACTTCACCATCACTAAGTAGAGCAAAATAATTACCTCCCATGTCTTTCTTATACTCCTAATAATACATTCCAGAATGATATTTTCCTTTTTGCAACTGCATCACTTTGTTGACTTGCATCCCCCCCATGTGTATTCCAGTGTACCTGCCCAAAATCATTTTCTTCTGTGCTATGTGGCCAGCTATTCCCCTTTTGTGTGTGTACATTGGAGGTTTCCTTCCTACTTATCCTGCTTTGAGCTTGTCTTTATTCTATTACATCTCCTTGATTTCATTCCATTTCTCCAGTTTATCAAAATCATTCTAAATTCTGTTCTCCATCATACTTGCAATCCCTCCCAGGTTGGTATTATCCACAAGTGTTATAAATGTGCACTCTTCCATCATTTCTAAGTGAAAACATTGAGTAGTACTGAACACAAGACAGACTGCTACAGGACTCAATTGTCACAAGCTCCTGGTTTGACAGTGAACTACTGATAATTACATCAGGTTCTTCAGGGTATTTGAAATGAAGTAAAAAGGGAGAATGAATGCAAAATAGCTATTAATTCTAAGTTAGGATTACTGGTTGAAGGGCATAAGTTACAACAATCAGTTGTGGATGCTAAAATAAATGACAGAACTGCCCTGTTGTGCAGTGGCATAAATGACTGTATACAAGGGGCATAAATGACTGTATACAAGGGGCTTAAGGTTCCTATGGCAAACGTAGGTTCATAGATGTTTGGGATGGAAGGGACCTTAGGAGATCATCGAGTCTGGCCCCATTCCAGGTGTACTGGCACGCTCGGAGTACTGTGCATTTAAGCTGTCATAATGTTAACGTAGGATTGTTCAGGCTAAACACTGAGGGATGTGAACGGACATGTCTTTAACATTTTTGTACGAGATTTTGATCATCTGAAAAGTAGGGAAATTACTTTTTAAAGAAGAAAACACCTTGGGGGTAGGAATGAGTACTTTTAGAAAAATTAAGTAGCTTGTAAAGCATCTGGAAGTTTTGCCTCCACACAGCTGGTAAGGTCACAACTTTGCAATCAATATACATGACATAGTTCCAGATCTGTACATGCTGTCAGATACTCTTCTTCAGAGCAAGTTGCTTTCAGCAAATTCCTGAAAATTGACTGACTGCGCTCCATTGCAGCTGGCCAGGGTGAAGACATTACTGGATTAAGAGGTAAACAGATTGAGGATGAAACCCACTTATTTTTGGCTGTTGGTGACATTTTTTTTTTAAATCTCTATGGTCTCTTAACTGGTCCATCCATGTGGAAAATCTCTTCCAGAATCTGATGATACAGGTATTTTCCAAATCAAGT